TAAATTGGAATATCTTATCAATATTGTTATGAATAATATGCTTATTTATTTTATTGCAATGCTGTTCTGAAATAATAATAACAATAATTATAACTTTAGATTAAATGTTAAAATATTTTATTGATTTTTTTCTTAAAATTTCTTAATATTCTTGCCATATTTATCAAAATCATTTTATATATTGTGATTTCTGTGTTTACATTGGCGTCTGAGATTCCAATTTAATATTTTATCTCACAATCACATTTCCATTGTGTTTGTCTACTCTCCTGCTGCACAACCAGTATAACTCAGCTTTCAGCTTTTCATTCCCAATAATTAGTGTTTTCCACAATAATTAAAATGCATTTTGAAATCATCTATAGTCATTTGAATACACACCATAGTGAATGAACAAAATATACATTGTCCATGTTGAAGGACAATGTTGTTAACAACTTAGAGGGCTTTATATAAATCCTAAATGTGCTGCATTTCCTTTCGCTCGCAATGCATGGATATACCAGCTAACACTTTATCACCACAAGTTTTCTTGCAACAAAGTTAGTGCTAGTTTTTGCAATTTTTTTTGTATTTTTCTATGATTTCTTCGTTAACTTTGAACCTAAAAATTCAGAAAATATTTTTAAGAACTGTATAGCCTAATAACACTTCAAACAAGAAGATTGTGTGACTGCATGATCATTACGTAATACATTTATCAGCTCTTCCACTTTCTTTAGGTGTTCATATCACTGCATGCACCTACGTTCTTACGTGAAGTATAGGACCCTTAATTAACGCAAAAAATCAGGCTGATTACGGTTCTTAGGATCTAATGATCTAGATTACTAAATTGAAATTACAGTGATAAACAAAAGGCTGTTAATAGTCTTAAACATGGTGTGCTATGATTTTGTGGAGCATTCCCTGGGATTGACACCTTCCTCTTTGGCAACTCAAGGTGAAATGATTCATACTGTATTTTGACTGCATTCGTTACTAATTTAGTAAGATAAGAAAATAATAATAACTTATATACTATTTTTCTTTCAGAATTGGACAAGTTACTGTCTAATCTTCACCGTAGCAGTGATCCATATGAAATGCATGTAATGAACTCGGTGGATGATGTATGTGATAAAGATCATTTCAAAGCGTATGAATACATCCCTCCTAAGATGGTTAAGGCATGCAAGGTGTTAATGGGTAAGATGTGTATTTGTGTTTTGTTGAAAAGTTATCAGCATGCTACTATCCTGGGTCCACTTCTTGCGACAAGCTTCATTCATTTGTTAATTAGTCCCTGTTCGGACGAAGTCCAAAAACGGGGACTTATAATTCGGGCTCCGTCCGTCTGTGCGTCTGTGCGTCCATTCATCTGTGCGTCCATGCGTCCGTCCGGAATCATATCTCAGAATCTCGTGGGCCGATTCTGTTCATTCTTTGCATGTGCCTAGTACTTTATGTGGGACATATGCACTTGCAGTGGTTTAGCGATTTGATTCAAAATGGCCGACTGGCAGCAATCTTGTTTTTTGAAAATGTTGTATTTTGGACATGCTTTGTCAGTTTTCATTCAAATTTAGTACATAGATTATACATGTTAGGATACATATCCCTGACCGTTCGTGAGTTTCCGAGTCTGTCCGTCTGTCTGTCCGTCCGTGTGTCTGTCCGTCCGTGCATCAGTCTGTCCTGAGTCATATTTCAGAATCCTGTGGACCAATTCCGTTCATTCTTTGCATGTGCCTAGTACCTTATGTGGGACATATGCACATGCAGTGGTTTAAAGATTCGATTCAAAATGGCCGACTTGCAGCCATCTTGTTTTTTGTAAAATGTTGTATTTTGGACATGCTTTGTCAGTTGTCATTCAAACTTGGTACATAGATTATTCATGTTTGGATACATGTCCATGATGATTTATTTCGCAATTGGATCAAAGATTTTATGCGGTATCTTGTCAGTTTTCATTCAAATTTGGCACATACATGTACTTTATACATGTTAGGATGCATGTCCATGACAATTTGTTTCAAAATCTAGTCAAGGATGGCCGATTGACAGCCATCTGACTTTTTGGCCTTACTACTATATTTCCACAATTTATGTACCATTTTCATTCGAATTTGGCACATACATCATATACATATCAGTGTGTTTCATAATCAGATCAAAGATGGCCGAATAATGGCTGTTTTTATTTTTGGCCATATTACTATTACATGGAACACGTGTTTTGATGTAAATAAACAATCTGTTGTATACGCCACTTGGAACTCAAGTTTCAAGGACACGCTCGCGACAACCCCTCCACTTTAATATGACAAGCACAAAGAGAACTTTCAAACATTAACGGGGACTGTGTCATTTTCAATGACTTGTTCATTTGTGAATTGATTGATTGATTAATTCATTTATTAATTGATTGATTGACTACATTACACCAGACACTGTGCATGACATCTCATATGTTTGTCTTATATTTCTTACAGATAATCATGATGAAGACATTGAGCAATATTTACTTACACATCCCAAATATGAAGATTTAGAGAAACATGTCTGTTATGATTTGTCTGAAGCATGTTCAGAAGTAGACAGAGATTACAAGCCACCTTCATTACCTGTAAGTGTTCATGCTTCTACATGTATGTATTGACACCCCTGATAGAAATAAATATCTTGTGATAGTTTGTGAGTAATTAAAATAATTGCAAATGTTGTAAAAGCGTTACATTGTTGAAATTTGACTGAGCGCAAGATTATATAACGACAAAATGTGAATTAAAATGACTTTGTGATTGTCATATTGTTCCCAGCAAAAATTTTTCAGTGTCTATAGCCTTCAACTTTTTGAACACCAAAGCCAACTCATGAATTCAAACACCCCTGCATAATTTATTTCATATGTTTTAAAACAATCATACATTGGTATTGACTATCTAGTGTTGATGTGATGAGTATGGATTGTAAATTTATCAAAAGATTGTAATTTTCTGCCACTGAGGGCGCTGTTACAATATCGTTATACATTGCAGGAGGTTCTTATTACAAATGGTAGTTTTATGAAATTTATATCTTTATGCAAAACAGTATCAACTTATTTTGATACAAGAAACCTGTTACAAGTTTAATAATTTGTTTATTTCATTTGTCATAGAAAACAATCCATACTCATTTTGATGGAGACAGGCAGGAATTACCAGTCGATGAACGAGGAAGAGTTGGGCTGAGTGGACAAGAAGTTCAAGATGATGAAGAACAGACCAGGGAAAAAAGAAAACAGGAGGAGAAGGCAGAGAAGGAAAAGAAAAAAAATGATAAGAAACAGAAAAAAGACAAAAAAGAAAAGAAAGATAAAGGAAAAAAGAAAGAAAAGAAAGACAAGAAAAAACAAGAGAAAGAGGAACTTTGATCTCAATAATTTAGTTATTTATAGTTAAAAAAAAACAAAACAGTATAAAATTAAAATAAAGTTGAGCAGAGTGAATATTGAATGTTGCAGAAATAAACTAATTTAAAAATCTGAATTCATTATAAATTGTTATTATAGTTGCTAAATGTATGTTTATTATGAAATGGAAAAAGTGAATTTATTGGTCTATTTTGATGTTGTATTGTGATGTTTCATCTTCCGGCTGAATTCATTCTACAGCAAAAACTACCAAATACATACAAGCTCCCTGTCACATGTATTAGTCAACATTGTTAAATACTGTGAAAATTTGATCCACTGCATCGTAGTGATGACATTGGTTAAATAAACCTTTTTTTTTTCAAATTAATTTTTATTCTGTGTTAAGGTTAAGTATGGGTACTGTAATATGTATGGGTGACACCATGCGACATTGGGGTGTTGTGAGTGTTTAGCCAAAAACAACTTTCCACTGTCATGTGCACTTGCTGCTTCAATTATACAAAAAAGTTGTTTCATGTTACCTTAGAACTGTGGCTCCATGATTGTACAAATAAATCAATTAACATTATATTGATTTATTTCTCAAAAATTCTGAAATATACACATAAATAAATGATTTCCTCAGTGTTTATATACGGAAAATATATTGAGGTGTATCATGCACTTTACTGAAACTGTCCTTTCGTGAAGTCCAGGCCGTATTTGTATGTGAGTGAACAGTCATGGTGAAGACATGGAGCAGTATTTACTTACACATCCCAAATATGAAGATTTAGAGAAACATGTCTGTTATGATTTGTCTGAGGCATGTTCAGAAGTAGACAGAGATTACAAGCCACCTTCATTACCTGCAAGTGTTCATGCTTCTACATGTATGTATTGACACCCCTGATAGAAATAAATATCTTGTGATAGTTTGTGAGTAATTAAAATAATTGCAGATGTTTATATATGTAGCCTATCCAAAGAATTCACGACTTACAATTTTATGAAAACGAATATTCTCAGTAGTCACTAAGTTTAATTTTAAATTCACTCACTGAAGACGATTCACGATATGATTAATTTTATGTTGACTTTAATAATACACCTATTATGTCATTTGGTCGCTAGAGGGCGCACATTAATGAGGTTGACAGTACACAACAGCACATTCCCTCTCCTTGACAAGGGAACTATGACGAAACGATTTCCTCACAAATACCACCGCACAAGCCTCAATTTTGAAGTACGGACCGGAAACTCTTGAGTACCTTGCTGTATCCTATAAATTATATTCTTTATTGCCGAGTCCACGCTAGAAATAGGTGCCTAGGGCCCCTAGTCACCTACCTAGTAGGGGCATCATGGGATAATCAGTTCCACAAAGTAAGCAGTGACGGGTGCTGGAGCTGTACGTTGTCTAAGATAGAGCCACTGCCCTTGAAGAATATTCGAAAACTTATTTTGTACACTGCAGGACAAAACAAATGTTTCGAACATCGGAAATCAAAATTCGATTCCGATAAACCACCCCTCTGGCTCGTAAAAATGGACTGCTCCATTTATATGCATGGCTTGGTATCGTAATTTTTTACTATCTGACTGTCAGCTCAGGTATACACTCTGTGCACCCTATCGATACTGCTACACACAAATCGAAAAGTTTACAGTTACAGAGGTCGTGACGATACTCGGAAATACCAATCCACGGATACATACGACTAGCACACAACACTCAATTTGCAAAAAAAAACAAAATGTCCAGTGCCAAGGCAGCGGCCGAACAGAACGTTGCTGCGTTGAAGTACCAGCTTAACATCGAGAGAATACCAGCATCAAAGTCCATAAAAGAGTAAGTACCAGTATTATCACGGGCCCGGGGTCCTAATAATTCGCCATCATATCGAATGGTCCAGGCACGGTGTCGTGGTTCACGTTCATTAACATACAATATCTTTCCTCGGTGATCACTGAATTGTATTCACCTGCCAGTGCGCACCGTGAAGACGAGCAGTGGCAATGTGATCCCCGTGAAGTCGGAGACTGCAAATTAATTAAGAATTTTAATAGTCGAAACTTTAATCACCGTTATCGTAATTCATGTCAAGTTTCATCGTCCGTCATATCGCCAACATAAAACATCAATAGATCGACGTACCACTAGTACTTCAGCTTGAGTACACACCGGCGCACATATAAGTGTTTTCAACGCACCAGCATGCATGAAACGTAGTATCACCCAAACAATGTACAGTTTGGATAGTGAGAAAAAAAATGTTGCATACGGACGGAGTTTTCCAAACGTGTCAGGTTTAATTTAGTTTAGTAGGATTAAACTGTGGAAAACATTTTTTTTTTGCAATTCCACTAATTAATTGCGTTTAATAGTCGTGTGACATTGCGTGATCCAAAACGATTGTAACATAAACTTATGTGTGGATGATGGATGCTCTACGGTTGCTTGGTGGCGTATCCACGCACTTATAGTTAACTGTCATCGAAACCATGGTCAATTAAACCCACATTTACCCGCTTTGCAAATTTTAGCCTGAGCTTAAACAGAGACGAAAAAAACAAATAATAGTTACATTTTGAAACAAAGGTATAATAAGCAGATTAGACCGTACCACCCGAAGCACATTTCAACAAATCATACGTCTGGGTTCTGGCCTCGATTCTTTGGTAGTAACACGCAGTGTTGCTTTAACAGTCGTGAAAAATGTGCAAGCGGTCAGCTGGGTCACGCTGTCGATAACACACCTTACCATCAAACCCAATAACTACTTAATATTCAGTGCTGTTTTTAACTCCACACAAAAGGGCAAATACAACGAATACAGTCTTGAAAGGGATTTAATGGACCATGAAATTACATCGTTTTGTTAGTTTGGCAAGATTTTTTTTATATGTTATTACCAATTCAACTTTTATGGCGGAGCATACTACCTATGCGACCGTGAAAATGAAACTTTTTTTCTTCCTTACAGAGCTTGAGTTTTATGGTCACGTCCACAGTGGCAATGGTAGTCTAGTCATGTTGATTGATACAAGTACTCATACCAAAACACAATGCATGTAGGGAAAAGTGGCACTTCGGTTACAGCGCATGCCGGGGGAAGTTGTTGATTTGCTAAACTAACTAATGATCACAAGGACGATTGTATTAACTCAAAAAGAACATTTTAATCATAATCAGTTGTTAGGAATAAATGTATAAATAACTACATTTAAAATATAATACATATACAAGTAACATCTAAAGAAAAATTATGCAATTTCATTTCGTTTTGTGAAGCATCTGTTTACAAAACGATGCTTTTGATCATTTCAGTTTCTGGAATGAATTAATGAATGTAATATCCGTGAAGATTTGTTGTTGGTCTAAATGATATTTAGGGCAAAGTAGTAAAAATAGTAATTCATCTTCAATCTCATTTAGCGAGCATTGTTTACAAATTCTATTTTCTAAGGGGATTTCTTATTCTTAACCTCGAGAATCACAACAGTGTACAATTATATGTATCGAACAGTTCACCTTTGAGCATGGGAGGAATTCCCAGGCCTTGATAGTACAACAAAGATATCTTACTTGCACTTAATTGTAAAATTTACTTAGACTGTGTCTATGATGTTAGTTTACTAGCAACATATAAAACAACTTTCGATATAGTGAACTAAGGCAATGAGTAAACCATCAAATAAAGTCACTATGTTATCTAAAAATGCACATTTTCTGCCAAGAAGCAGTTGTTAATTTTTCGTCGATCGATCCCGTAAACCTCCTCTCTTGAATCTTCACCGCTTCTTTTATCCTCACTTCCAAGACGACGTCACATTTTACTTTAACACGCGTGTTTTTTTTCCCCATCTAAATATCATTGTAGTATATATTTTAAGTCAATTGAAACCGAAGGCAACACAACTCAGGGGTAATTCCATCGAATGTAAAGAATTTATATAAAAGTGGAATGGTGTGACGGCCTGCCCACACGCCGCGGCTCGATTGACTTGGCGCCATGCGAGGGTGATTTGCTATGCTATTACTAGTCATAACAAATTATAACGCGATTAAAAAGTATTGAAACCGTAATTATGTATTAATTATACATGTTATCTTGAAAACTTTCGCTAAAGTACACCACGCATGAGCATGTCTAAACAATTCAATGGAAATTCCTCGCTCCCCAGGCGCCGCAGGCTCACACTACGTGTAAGATATTGAAATTAAAACTGAAACTCTGTCTGGGGGGGGGGGGGTTCTTGATGATGTTGTTGCTGTATCGTTTTTCGTTTAACAAGTGTGTGTGGGTTTTTTATTGTTTACATTTGAATTTTTATTCACTTCAAAATCTATTCCCCAGAGATTTCAATGGCCAGCCCCATATGTCGTGTACTATGTTGTCATAGTAACTGACAGATTATTTTTATTTGTATTGCCAGGTTTTATTTTCTCGTCGTCCTTTAGCGTAAAAATCGAACTACAGTAGGCACCCCAGTTGAGTTTCAAATAAAGTGACCCCCTAGCTGCCGACACATTTACGAGCGTGCAGAGCTTCATATTTACGAGCTGAGGTGGCGGTCGTCACGTGACATTGGGGGACTGTAAATGAAGCGGTGTAGTCGTCACGACGCATCGTTCTCGATATGGGTCCCATGTGACGAATACAACGCGTGTAAAATAAAATTGTATCATAAACGAGTATATGTCGTGACAAAATTAATACCACAGATCGAACAGAACATGAATAATTGATAAATACGATTTTATTAAATATTAATTATATATTAGGTGTATATTTCCTATCTACAAACAAGAACAGGCTGTCAAATACTTGATATAATAAGAAGTTAGATAAACACCGACCATATCTCCCCCCCCCCCCAACACAGCGCTGTGAAATGGTTGTTTAATATATAAATTGCCTAACTGGTATAGTGAACGTGGTAAAATACTACTCTAACTTAATTTTTGGTCGTAAATCGTATGACAATGCTTATTTTGTCATTATGTATATTCACAAAGCTAATACTTCCATGGTGACACGAAACAGCACTGTTTTGTCACTGGTAGTATGTATTTTGAGAAAATTGGTCTAATATTTTTCAAATGAAAAAAAGAAAGAAAATTTTTCGAACAATTCCTTAGAACAAACTGTTGAAAGAAAAAATGCATGTTATGTGACTCTAAAAACCCACGTAATTCACCAGTCCACATTTTCAGATATAGCATGTCTCCGACTTAGTTTACGTAACCATTGGTGAAGGTGTTAAAATACTGACAAAATGGCCGCCATTCACTAATTTTACTATCACAATTTCTTCGAAAAATAGGCTGTGACCCCAACTTGTTTTGACAGTTAATATTCTTATATTAACCGGAAGTGCAAATTATTGCAAAATGAATTATTTATGAGTTGGCGTCTACTTTAATTTTCATATCAATATGTGACGTCACACAGTACTGTTTTTTTATCGTTTCAGATTGGTGCAATACATTCAAGACAACGAACCGACCGACCCGTTTCTGCACCCAGTCGACAAAAAGGAGAATCCATGGGCCGATAGAGGGAAATGCAGTATTCTATGACCCGACCACTGGCTGTGTGCGATACATTGGTATATCTCACAGACTACGTTGAAGAGATTTTTTGAAATGCTAACTTTTACGAATTGACCTAAAACGAGAAGGTGTTGGTGTGAACTAGCCAAAAAAAAAAATCATCAGTAGTAATACTTCTGTCTCTCAAATGAGCAGGTTTTGGCTCATATAACAGTAGATGCTAGTTTACAATACGGACGATGTGGTAGTGCCCGTAAAATAGTAGAAATACAATGGAGCCACGTCCAATAACAACTGAACAATTTATCTTCAGGTTCAACATAGCCTTACACAAAAACGTAGTATTCAGTACACATTTTTTAAAAATTTAATAGTTTTTAATTTAAACATGAATAATTTCTAATGTTATCCAAATTATGTTATACTTTAATATTCGCCAATACGGTTTATGTGAAATTATTATGGAATAAAAAATAAATGAGCAAATAATAATCACCGATCGTCATATTTATTTGAGTACTGTTCAATAAATCGTCTAACTCGCGCGTTTTCGTGAACCGTGATGTACAAATACTACATACCTGTTGGTAAAATACATGGATCGGATTGGGCGTAAACATTAGACAACTGAGCTTATTGCAATGGAAATCAAACAAAAAGACGGTACGGCAACAACTTGCCATAGAGGGCGCCATTCAACAAACACACTGGCTGCAGAATCTGCCAAAGTACAGCAGTGATGCTACGGCCGTTTCTAGTTTTATAGATTATCTATACTACATGTCACAAAACTTCAAAAAAAAAAAAATTGTTTCAAACAAATTCATTTTGTGGGACTAATACTGGATGTAGGGAGGATATGCACAACCGACTAGACTGGTCGTTCCATCGTGATCGTTTTGTGTATAATGCATACAGGAGTGAAAGTTTATAAATTTCGAATACCAAATATATATCACTCTGCTTTCTTCACAAAGCATCTACTTTCTTATTATATGCTAGTTCAATTATAAGTGAGCAAGTCACTGCGATCTTTTAAATATCTGTACAAACAATTGACAAAAATGAAAAACAAGATTGATGAAAACATACAATCCTCGGGGCGGACATCCGGGCATTTTCACCGCCTGGCAACCCGCGGCGGTGAAAACAAAGGCCCAAAACTCACAGAAAACGGTACTTTGGGGGTGATTGTTGAGACTCCTCTGAACAGTGTAACAAGATTAGCCCTACGTGTGTAACATATATAAATTTGATTGTTCGGGATTACTTCAAAGTTGAGTTTGTGTTGTTTTCTCGAATTTTCACCGGCTCGACCAGTGTTCCACAGCAGCGCGCACAGAGCCCATAGAAATGCATGTACAGTGGTGCGCGTCTTAGCAACGTTGAACGTCTGTGACGTAGCTCCGCCCCCGAGGATAGCTAATACAAAGTACTAATTACAGTTAGACAGTGTATTTTCATCATCTTATTTTTCTACTGCCATTCTTGGTTAAATTCATGCAAAACATGTATAATAAATATCATTTTTCCTGTCGACATTTGTGATTTAAAGTTGCATTTTCACTTTGTGTTATATGTTGAACACTTCTACACTAATTAATGTGACCACCGTGAAACCGGGTCCGTTTGCTACACAGCATTGTTTTAATCCATGGGGTAATAGTACATATGTAAAACACATGATCCACGCCCGGAGATTGGTTAATATACTTTATAAGTCCCCCAGGTCCCAAAACCATGACCTGGGAAAGCATGTAGCGTGGCACATCATACCAACCAACTTGAACCAACCATTCAGAGAATCGTTTAATCAGTTAAAATTTCGGACGGTATAGAGGTCTTGAGAAAATTAATTAATTGCAAATTTTCCACCAATATGGCAACACATGTTTTGTCCAGCCAGTAAATTTGTTTTCTCCCTGTGATAATAGTACGTTTTCCAACTTGAAATGTGTACATTGCATGCTGTTTTTTTCCTAACCATCAGATTTGAAATGAAAATGTGGTTAGTGGGCTAAATATATTCTATAACAACATTCCATTTGCCAATTCGATTTAGGGTTTCGTATATTTAGATCATAGTAACAACATCACACTTTCAGTATCAATAAAACTTTAGCAGATATACTTACGTAATACAAACTCACATCAAAATAAAATAATTATATAGTAATGAGGTTTATATTTTGTCCTGTTGATATTCTATTTGAATATGCGATTACGTTATTTACAAATAAATTATTGATACTTTGGAAGTATCAAGTATTACGCAACTATGACTAAATATCTTGGTATTTGGACTACCATGGCTGGCAAATACCATGGTCAATGACCACGTTGACCATAGCCAGCTCACGGCGACAGCTACGGTTATACTGAGCAATGATCAACCGATGAACGAGGTTCGAACGGGCGTTGCGTTTGTACCAGTGAACCTATTTGTACGTCCCACCGCGATGTCGATTATGGTGTTCTCGCTAGAAACAATTATGCTGCACTGAACCATTACCCCCATGGGTGAACGGACGCAGATTAATTTTTTTCAGATTTTTAAGATGACTTGTATGGTAATAATATGTAAATTAAGGAGATCAATATCCGTGTAGTATCGAAAATATATATGAAAAAAAATTATTGTTATTATTACTGATATTGTGTTGTTTAATTATGCTACTGTACACATCGTTTATATTGCCTGAGATTGGATGTAGCAAATTTAAAATAGATTGGACCTTGAATAGTATGTGCGAACGTAGGAGGCAACATCACATATATTTTTATTGACCAATCACAGTGTTATATATTTGTATCAGAGTTTCCCGCCCAAGTTGCGAACCCCCACGAGGTGATATAAGCACTCGATATGCTTGACTCAGGGCTCTTCTTTGTTATGTTCACATCGTTCAAATAAACCACTAGTTACATACTAATAAGTACGTGTATCGTGCCTTCTTTCCCTATGGCTCAAAGAAAGAAAAAATAGAAAGGAAACAAATGATTGAAACAGACGGATATTTTTGTGTGAAATTTGCCCGTCAAAATACAGGAAATAGCGTTTCAGAGGGTCTAGATTTCAAAATTTTAACGGGGAGAATGCCGCTGGACGCCCTAGTAAGGCGCGAGATTTGCGAGCAGATCTCGATTTCGCAACGCCGCCTCTGTAAGTAAATGTTTGCTATTGGTATGAAATCATATGGTCATACATATAAAGATATAAAGTTAGCAAAGTGTCTTAATCTAACCAAAACACTTCTTTCATTCTGACGCAATTTACATATTTAAATATGCGGCTAGCAACAGCTCGTACATATGGCCGGGACAAGTGGGTAGTAGAGTACCTTGTTGATCTGAAGTTGAAACACCAAAGAAACTGAGGTCTTGTTTACTGATTAATACTTTCTTAGTAACAGGCTATTGCATCACGACGCCATACCAATTTCTAATATTGGTATTTTGAGACGAGAGCGAGGGTGTGTGTAATACATATTTCATAAAGAGGGCGCAAATCCAGTCACGTGCTATTTTGCGAGATGAATATAGTCACGCGAGATAACAAACAACAAACACACATACATTTCATGACGTCACCATATCTGCGGGAGGATTTGAAATCGAGGAAGTTTCTGCACTCGCTACCTGTTTTTGTTTATTAATGGGGAAGCGGTGTCGTTAGTTTCTCAGCGAGATAATGTTTATTTGTGCTTCAGCGTCAATAAGTGTACATTGCTTGAGAGGTGGGTACCGGTATAAAGTATTTTAAAACGAGTGTGTGCCGGGGTGCGATGTCTCTGAAGTACGGGCTGGTCCAAAGCTCAGACAACTAATAAATTTATTAGTTGTCTGAGTCCAACGCTACTAGCACCGCCCCTCAACTGTGAATAGTAGATAATATTTGGTAATCGTAGTCCTAAGTAACTATTAAAAATAGCATCTGTGTGCCCCTCGCCTGACGATCTGTTTGGGTGTTTTGACTCCCATTTTCACGGTCTACCAATTTCAAGATATTTGGCTATTTTACTTAAATTTAAGAATTTTTACCGAAAATTTGTGTACGCTCGTATTTTAGTAACCACGCCCACTTTTGCAAGATCTCGTCCAAATTGTAACTCG